AGAGTGCCACGGCCTTCGCGGCCAAGGGTGGTGTCCGTGCCGCGAACCACAACCGGATGACATTCCACGAAGCCTTGGGCGACCTACTCAGGTCTAACGAGAAGCAGCAGAAGCAGCTTGCCTTCCAGAATGGCCAACAAATAATCGGGCAAGGTGGTGTGAACGACTTCAAGAGCGATCTCAAGCCGTCGACGTTTGGTTGTCTCATCTTGATCAACGCACTTCACAACTACATCTGGGAGACCCGTCAGCGCCATCACAACAAGGTATGGACCAACGAGGAAACCGAAAAGATGCATCGCCACATTGAGCCAGCCCTGAAGGCCTGGCAGGCAGCCTGGGCAAGCAATCCGAACCATAGCCTTGAGAGACCGAACCCTTTCGGGCTTGGACCGCTGTCTGCCGATGCCATTCCGCTTCTCGACTTGGCCTATGTACGACTTTTCGTGAACCTCGCCCGCTCGAAGGAGAAGTTTTGGCAACGTGATTGGGATGCCATGGCTGACGAGCTATCCCGGGGCAGCGAAATTGTCCAGCACGCCGAGCATTCACCTGCCTCTAACCCGGAATCGACAGGCACAGATCACTCTGATAATTCGGTCTCAAGCTCCGTATTCGTCGAGTCCCCGGCGACCCAGTCATCGTCATCTCCAGAGTTTTCTGCCGTCAAATTCCCGCAGGCCCAGGCTGCCCCAAATCGGTCCACTTCTCGTAGAGAGAAGCATCTTCGCAAGGCCGCCTTTTACGCAGCAGACTCGCTCGCTATGTCCGACAAGCTAGGTGTCACATTTGCGGACTTTTCCAGCAGAGAGTTGCCTTTACAGTCAGCCATGTGCGCATTTGATTGTGCTCAGGTTCTGGCTGAATGGGTCGCAACTTTGCAAGATCGAGTAGGCCGGTACCTGGGAATTCTCGGTCAGGATGAGGTCGACCTATCGCAAGTCCCTGCAATTATGCTGCTGGAGGAGGAAGATGTTAAGTTGCTCGGCAAGGTTCAGGAGGTGTTGGCCTCTGCTGAGATGAAGATGAACCTTGAGCTTGTACAAGGAAACATCGCAGGCGTCGATACAAGAATGCAAATGGACGATCACGCAGGTCACGCCGCCAAAATTCTCAGAGTCACGGCCTACATGCTCGATAAAGCTGCTGTCTGGCCAGTCACTCACTTGATGGCCCGATGCCTCGAGACTCACGCTACTCACATGCGAGCCAGGGCCGAGAAGTCTGTTATTCCTTGCGATTAGGGTGTTGATGTACGAGGTTTTGTGGGATGCCAATAACGGTCAACTGATCTCATTGGACGAGAGAGGGAGAGATAAGCTGGAAGTTACCGGCGACTACGTTCTGTTGCTAGAGGGCACACTGATGGACGAGGTTGCAGATATCGACGGGACGCAAAAAGGGGCTGGAGGCCGAAGAACGAGAAAATTACGATACATGGAACCGACAACCAAAATACCCGACGCTTTTGTGGGAAAAGCCAAAAGTTTCTAAATGACGTTACGACGTGTTCCCGGCTGGGAAGCATATTTCAAAGCACGGCATTCTATAACGCCGCCATTGTTTACGTTGACGCTGTCAAGCGACCCGATCATTCTTTCATCAGAATACGACGCAGCGACGAATACTGTACATCAAAAAGTTTGCTTGTTTCCCAAGCTACATCGAGTGAACACGAAAGGTCATCCACCCCGCACCCGGGCTGGTCATTCTGCATCGAACAAGTCCCTCAGAGACTTGGTGCCTGTCACGTCTCAGGGAGTCTTCATTGCAGGAAGAAGCCTGTTTGGATCGGAGTTGTGTGATCTTGGATTGGATTGGGATGGGGGGCGGCGTTTGTTCTTTTTTCTTTCCACTTCTTTTGCGGATGCGATGTGCCAGCTCGAACCTGAAAGTCAAGTATTGGCTCCCGGTCAACCTCCTCCGGCTTGAATGGCACATTGGCAATTCGCTTCACTAGTCCCTACCGCGGCACTGCCACGTCTCAGGTATGCTGAAGCATTGTTGGGCGGTTGAGGCTAGTGTTCCCAGCACAGCCTTATTAATCATGTCATCGTCGATCGACTTAAGGGTTGACATAGTTGGAGGGCTTTTCTGGTAATTTTCGTGTAGCAAAATACCGGGGTAGGACATCGAACGAGGTTGGTCACGTGGTCCATCAGCTTTCCCTGCGCAGGAAACCCGGTATCTTGGATAGGGTGGACGGATGGGGGATTGTATGGATGAAGATACCGAGTTGATATTGAGGTTCGCGCCATGCCATCTTATTCCGCTTCTCAATTGGATATGCGACGGAAAAGCAGGGTGGCGCAGGATCTAGATATACCGGCAGGGTCAGGCTTGAAAACGAACCCATCAAGATGGGATTAGTAGGGGAAAAAAATACAATCAAAAGGACTGAGATGCGAGACGAAGCCCACCCTGATTTCTTTTCCAATGTGAACTCGATTGCTTGCTTGTGTACTTCCACCTACCTAGTACCTAAATACTTGGCGTGCGAGGATTTGCCCGTCAAGGGTAACAAGATGTGGTTTTGGCGGTGCTAGTATTCTTGATTCAACCACCTCCGCTCACGAGTTGGCTGTAGGCGTGATACCGTCCACGGCCTGCTGGTCGAAATTATGGGCGTAGGGTATAGTCTAGGACTTTTCGACTCCACGATTGCAGAAACCATGGCTCTCATGTAACATGTAGACGTGTGCGTCCTGGAGGAAGTACGAATAGCTGTCGACATCCAACCTCAAAGGCAAGCACCAAACTCGAGTATCCACGGGGTTCCAAGCTGCAATGAAAGCAACACAATGCTGATTTCTTATCCCTTATCCAACTCTTTGAATACATAATTCGCTTCGCTATCATAAAACACAAAATTCCTTGCCCAAACCAACCTCCCACGCAACCCAAAAAACCGACTAGACAATATCGCTCAGCAAGGCTGGAACGTAGCCTTGAACCCAGTCTTGAACTGGGGCGGGAAGACGGCCTTGCCACACGCCGACCCGAACGCTGCCTTATCGTTGGAGATGCAGCACTTTTTGTTGCCCTTTAGCGCGCCGTCAATAGTGCCGCTCTTGCAGGCGACCTGGGTGAGGTTGGCGGTCAGGGAGCCGGAGCGCTCGTACTGGCCTTTGTCGGGGGCCGTGTCGACTGTGCCGGCGCATTGGACGCGGTCTGCTGCGTTGCTGTGGAGGGAGAGAGTGATGTCAGTTGTGAGGGTTCAGGGTGATATGTTGTTTGGTGGGTGCGTAGTCTGGCTTACACTGAGAGAGCGATTGCGGCGATGGCTGCGAGGGTGGTTGTGAACTTCATGATGAAGGATGCGGGAGTTGTTCTTGAAAGTAGGTTGATTGTTAGAGCGAGAGTGGTGATCAGTGAGTGAGTGAGTGGCTTTAGTCTACCAGGACTGTATACAATGATTGATGCGATTGATGAAGAAAAAAGCACTTCATACCTGGACTCTTGTCGTGCTTAAGTAGTCTTCTCGCTCTCACGATCTCAAGCAATAGATCAGCTATTGGTTTAGCTCGTTTCTACGCATGTTTCTACTGTTTCTGTGTAAAACGGCACCGCCGACGGCAGTGCTCAGGGTACATGAAACAGCCTCGTCAGCATATTCGCGCAATGTGAAGCTGACGATAGCGTGTTCCACCTCTTTAGAAACATGACTCCCCCTTCGGTGGTTGTTCGTATGGTGGTCCCGGTCGTTTGGGTCGAGGGACCAGAATTTCCCAATGCGGGCGTGCTAAGCTTTCGCTGCCCGCGTTTTGGGCCCAAAAGGGTGAGATGGGTGAGGATCGTCCCCCTTTGAGATCCCCAATATTTAAGCTTCGCGTCTGGGTTTGAGGGATCTTTGATCCAAGCGCGTGGGTGAGAGATGTTCTAGAAACGGGCTCTGCGGGTCTCCTAGTTGTGTGCTAACGTGCTTGAGTGACGTGACTTGACTCAGTTGCTGGCTGGAGACACGCATGGCTTCCCCGACTGCTTTCGTCTGTGAAATTGGTGAACTAACTGTTTCCTCTAAAACCGAATGATACTAGATTAACTTGACATCTGGAGGGAAGGAAGGCTTGATGTCGTACAGCCTGGGCTAAGACCTCGATTCAGTTGAAAGTAATTAATTTCACATAATTGATTTGATTTTGTTCATCCCATGGAGACCACGTTTTCAGCTCTTGGACAGATAACCTTGCTAAAGACTTTGTTCCCTTCGAATAATGCCGCACTTGAAAATGACATCCCTCTCCGGAATTACTGAGTCATGGTTAGAATAGTTGTTGTGAACCTTACTGATCTCAAGTGAGATGCGAGCTACTCGTAAGGGGAGAGCAGTGGATCCATGTTCACTTCAGATGAATCTGGAAGCATCGAACTGATTTCGCTCAGAGTTTCCTTGAGACGGTTGATTCCGCCTCGATAACTCTCCTTCAGGTGAGATGGGACCCATCGACAGGATGAACATAATCGACCGACACGTCGATCCTATGCATCACATAAGGTGTTATTGCATGTAGCCACCTACACAGAGACTTTAAGAATCCGAAGAACAACACATAGCTAATACTGAGGCCAGGCAGGAAATCAAGAGACAACATCTCGATCAACATTATGAGTTACTGCATATAAGCCTCGCTGCAGCACAACTCCAACTTCCACTTCGGGTCGCAACATGGACACTGAAAAGTCACATAATAGCGTCGCATGGCTTACGCAGCCCGGATGATCATGGATCCATGCCTCTTCTCCAGAGAGGGACTCGTACCATCTGCCTGGGACGGGGGCCTGAGTCGGGAGCGGAGCTTACGCTGGGTGATCGGCCCGGTGGGATGGTCTTGCGGGTGAATAGTCTGCGATCCGTTGCTGACTTACCTTGAAGTTACTAACAGATTGCATTATGATGATCATCACGGCTTGCCGGCGGTGATTGACATGTGGGAGAAGGGATATTTCTCAAGGGTATAGAGTCTTGGGTAGAAGGGCTCGATAAACATGCAGTCAAGGGTTCAACTTTCAATTAGAACCTGTAACGGCCAAGCCAGGACATCTTGCCAGAAGGACCTGACACTATTCGATATCAAATGGACTATGGGTGCGCCAGAACCACCGAATGCCCAGAACCGCCGGTACCTATGTATTATCGCAGCGTAATAGGCCAAGACGACGAAAGCCTCCGGTTGATGCTGGTGCAGTGCTTCGATATACTCGTCCGGGATGCATAGGGGCCAGGCCATAACCGCGTGGACACCGATTTCGAACTTTGACAGTTGCCCTCCAGCTAGGTCGACAACCCATTGAAGCTTCTCTAGGGCCGTGATACAAACATTTGTCGACGCAGAAGGTGTTGGGACACTTGCCAAGAATTCTTTCAGCTGCTTCGTTTCCGGACCTGGAGTCTTGACTGGCTCCTTATTCATGACGTCCACGATGAACAAGAGCGGCTTCAAGTCAGATTGCAGTATCTCTTCCCAGTATTTCCCGGTAACGGATCGTACCCCTCGATGAAGACGCGAGTAATTGACAAAAGCATCGATGAAGTCTGCGAGAGAGCCACAGTGCCATTGGAGCGTTTCGTAAAGAACATGTATGCCCAAAAGAGACGCAAATACGAAAGTCGGGATGTATGTCGTGTCCGATATGTGCTCTTTTGTTTGGTTGAAGAAACCCAAAGCTCGTGTCTGTAACTCTGTGGCTTGGTGGAAGTACGTGGACGCCTTGGGCCCATTCTGCGTTGACAGATGAAGTGATGATAGCCCGAGGAGTTGGTCCAGAAGATACGGGGCCGTCAGGGAGTGTTCAATCGCAGTGTCGATAAGAGGCCGTATGTTCCCGGTCAGGGCCATGAACTCTGACATGTTTGACTGGGCATAGTGAAGGAAAGCCATGTGGCTCGCTGTAAAAGTCTGCCCGGTACGTGAGTACACTTCTCCGGGGTCTTTGGGAATAGCCAAACACCGGTCAGCGCTGATTTCTCTGGGTGTTGCAATGCCGGTGCAGACGATAGCTGCTGTGGAGGATCCGGCTGAGGAGCTGTCGTTTGGCTCCGTTTTCAAGTAGGAGCATACTCGCTCCGCCATGATGCAGTTCCGGCATTCCGGTCGAGTCTCATCACATTTGATGTGGCGTTTCTTACAGCCGCTGCAGCCGTTTCTCGACTTGCGGTGTGTTCGGCGGCCTGCGAGCCGGTCGAGAAGTTGTTTTGACATGATTTGAGGACAACAGTATGTGAACCGCGGAAAACGATGTAAAAAACACCAGATACGCGGGTTGTCATGAGAAGATGTTTAAAGAAAGAAACACGCGGAAGCGGTCTTTGAGGATCTGCTAGGCCGTATTTAATCTCTAAGTTCTTTACAGATCCAGAAGCCCTCATTCAGGGGCTAAGGCTTTGCTTCGTGCGTTGGGGCTTAGCTTGATAAGTGTCTTTTCAACTTTTGCCTTACACGCGTATTCCGAACAGCGCCCCGCTTCCCTCGAGCGAAACGGCATCTAGTACGGAAGATGCGTTCCTACACTCACTTGGCTCGCCAGTCTTTGTGCACGCTGAAGATAAAAATCATGACACACTGTTGTCTCCATGGAATGGCTAAAATCGACGAGAGCTCCAAGCTAATTTATTCACGAGTCGACGGTTGATTTAAGGGATTTACCTTTACAAAGACTTTAAATATGTTTTGGACTATCGGGCTCTTTCTATAAACCCCGTCGCCGTCGGAGCCCTATTTTTACCCACTTCTCACTACTTCCTAACTCGGGGGTTACCCAGGAGACAAAGACAATGGAAATCTTGGGACTAAGACAGCTATAGTTTCACCCGCCATGGGCTCCGTCATGTCAGTTGTCGACGAAGAAGTAAGACAGTAAGAGGCAGGAAAGGACGTGATTCTAATCATCACCTGATTCATCGATAGTATCGTCACTAGCTTTGGCGGTTCTAGAAAGCAGATCGCGAAAGAAGCCAACTTTCCTGCTATCTGAACTCTTGAGCACTTGGTTGATAAAATAAAAAAAGAACCCGTCCGCGGTCCGCGATTGGGCCCTCGTCGCAGCTCCAGCCGCCTTAATGGTAGGTGCCGGCAAACGGAGCTCAACTCCCCCGGAAGCCCCACCCAACCCCCCCCCCCCCCCAAAAGCTCCGCCGCAACAAGACCTCCGGATCTTGGCCGCATCTCGGAAGAGGGTCTGCCGTCCGCTCGGAAAACAAGCCCCAACCGCGTTCTGCCAGGCAGATCGCAAAACATTCAGTTTCGGGCTAGCAAATATCCCCTATATCTACCACGTGGGCATAGGGTAATCCCTGGAGCCGTTGATATAACAGACCCAGCAGAGTCTCCTCGCAGACAAACAGTGCCCGGAGGAGTGCTTGAGCGCATGTAAGATAATGACTTCTACAAAATAGCTCACTCATGTATGTTGATTGCACAATTTTGGCTAGTTTTGCCGTGCACCAAGCAAGAAGTAGCGCGATTTTGGGCATTGCTGGAACAGCCAGTTAATAGAAACCTCCGTCTTTCGAGTCACTGATCCAATTTCCTGTCTGAACATCCCTCTACAGAGACCAAGCACCTACTTGAGCTCTTAGACTATTCGCACTTTAGTAGTTCGTCTTCCAGGAGAACTTGCCCCTGTCCCCCAGGAGGAAATCCGTGCCCTGCTTCAGAGTCCACTCGACCGTCTTGCCGGCCTCCACCGCTACGGCCATAATGTCTCCGCCCTGGGTGATTTCCTCAATGTAGGCAGAAATGTCCTGAGTCAGGGTGTTGTGCATGGTGACAAAGAGGCTCCCCGCTCTGTAGACCATCGACAAGATGACGCCGCTGACCGGGTGCCTGGCACCTCTGAATGTGTTTGCAAAGTTGAACTGGTACTGCCCTTCGATACGTCTGATGCGAAAGTCAGCTGGAAGCCTGGGACATAACGTATACAGTGGGGGGTTCTTACTTTACGAGCCCAGTGACGTCCTCTGCAGCTGACGAAAGGTCCTGCAAATTCCTAGATAAATTCATTTAGTAAAGCCCGGTTTGCTCGGAATCCCTCAGGGCCTGTACCTCTCTTGGACGTCGACGTCGACTTGATCGATGGAGGCTTTGGAGGAGCTAAGAGGTGCTGCGATACCGGTGGTGACCGCTAGAATAGCGAAAGCAGCAGCGGGCTGGAAACGCATGTTTACTGAGTGACTGGTGATATGTGACAGTGGTAAAAATGTGAGTCTAACGGTAGAGTTGCTGTTGGATGCTATCGACTTGGGCTCTCAGGCTTCTTAAATAGTTCCAGGACGCGGTCTGCTCGTGAGCTAGACTTCCCCAACGCCAAAAAAAAAAAAAAAAAGGATCTCGAGGAAGCTCTGCTCATGACCGGAAACATTTGAAAACTCTCCTCGCGTTGATTCCGGTCGAGTTGTTAGTTCATCAATTAATGCTTTCTTCGTTCATAGTAGAGGTAGAAAATTTGAGTCCGTCGATCTGGGAAATGACGTCCACGAATGCAGACAGATACACTTGTCCGCGAACATCAATCACGAGAGCCATCCTCGCTTTGGGTCGGACATGGATCATTCTATATTATTCTCCTTCTAGCACGAAGGAAGCTTTGCCGGCATCGAGGTTACAATAGCCCTAGAAAAAGGTAGTTCTTAGTGCGATCAATGCTCACTTACCCCTTTCCCTTAGCGCATCCGCAACTTCATCCTGAGTAGGTATCCAGCGTCATTCCGATCTTGCCAATCGATGAAGGATAGGTGATTTTGGACTCATAAGCAATGATACGGAGATGAGATGAACCGCGGCTCTCGAGCGACAGCAAGATATGACCAGCATAGTGTAGAGTTTCTTATGCACTAAGGGCGGACGCCGAAATGACACTGGACATTCGGGTCAGTCACCGAAAGTAAGTTACCTACCTAAGTGAGGGCACGCCTCACTTAGGTAAACCTAACCACATACAGCCATTACCCTTGTAAGGCACTTAATTAGTATCAGAGTTGAATCGGACAGAGATACGCGTATCAATTGTTTAAACAGATCCGCTGCAGCACCAGCAGACTTCTCGAAGAAATAGAACAACACTTTTGCCACCTTTATTATGCTGCTAGCGGCCATACTGATAATCTGTCAAAAAGCTTGTTTTGTTCAATCGAGATATAGCCGACTTCTCTAAAATTGTCCATGAGATATGGCACAAATGAACATGAAAATGTGCCACACACCACACGCCGCAATCGAGCGGTTTCGATCAATCGTGCATGCACTGTCGGCGCGCACTCGCAGCTATATCGAGAGTAGCTGGCACACCCATAGACGGGACGCTGTCGGGCAGTCGAAGCTAATGGGGTAGTCTTCAGCACGTTCATAGGTTCTACAACATTACTGAAGGATGGAAAGTGACGGGAGATCCGAGGCCACTAAACGTTGTAGCTGCATTGCGTGTCAAACATCACGTTTTCCGGGCGGGCCTGAACTCTATCTACTGATGTGTCTCTAGGTGACCAAAATCTATCTTCATCTTTTCTACGGCAGCCAGTTCCGATCTACCTCCTCGTATAGAACTCCAAAGTAGGTAGCCCAGCCTCCTCGACGTAGTACTACTATCAAGAATAAGCAAGATTCTATAATATTAACGGAAGGCTCTAATGGTCGAATGTTTCGCCAAGTTTTCCAGCGGCGTCGTTCAAGGAATCGGAGTAAAGCTTTTTTTTTTCGGTCACAATACCACGGCGAATGATTTAACTTCCCTTCTAAACCCGGTTTGAGTACGCATGTTGCAGAGTAGAAACGGCACTCTCTCAATAGTTACCACGGAGCCGAGCGTTCTCTCCATGTAAGTCTCGCTTGTCGACAATCTCAACGACCCCGCCACTCCCAAGTCCCGTTGGACCGATCAGTCTCATCTCCAGCCGCCTGCTCGGCCGCAGCGGGCTGACTGAGATTCCACTGTGTGGGCGCCGGGGGCGGGCGCGTACGTCAATGAAGCCAATCCATTCAACAGCAACTTCCAAGAGGACTTTATGGTGGCAACTATGACCGCTTGCTTGAGATCAAAGACAAGTACGGTCCCACAGCCAGCCTCTATGTTCGGTCGGGAGTCGGAAGTCACAAGTGGGACTACAATTTGACGGCTGGCAAACTTTGTCGCAAATAGCCTGGATGCCATGATTACATGAAAAATAGCACAGATCGCATATATGGATCTTAATCATCGAGCCTCTAGAGGTCTCGATGTGTATATAGATTACTTTCTTCTTCATCTGAAAGCATTGTTGGACAGGGCTGCTCTTGTAGTACCAGGCCCTCAAGACTGCAAGTTCGCAACCTTTTCAAGATAGAATTTCAACTCAAAGCTGATGTTTCTCTGGGTGAAAGCTGATCTAACTGTATACGAGAGGCAAATAATCTTTCTTTGGCCGACTTTTCATCTGTGATGGCTTTCCGTAAAGTCCTCTACTTTACTTAACCCCAAATCAATAAAGATTCTGGTCACTTGCTAGTACGCCCACTTGTAACATCTTAGATACGACAAGAACATCAGAAATAATCAGCTGAGCCAGGCTTGCCGCTTCATGTATCTGTTTAAGTCAGTGAGGTAAAGTCAAGCTGGATTGAACTTCCGTTGAGCAGTGCCGTTGACGAGGTACGTGCCCTAGGTATCGATCGGATAAGGTAGGTAGTGGGGAGACAGGTCCGGTCTTCCCCACAGAGCGACCTGCACCTGCAGCCAGTGAACTGTTTGCCCCCACTTGGCAAGAACCCCGCCGCTTCCCGCGTCCCGCACTGCAGGACCGGACTTTGCTCCTGCCTCCAGGTCTGACCTCAAGCTCGAGCGGAACCTGCCATCCTTGTCGCTCTCAGCCTCCTCAACTTCTCCATGTCATCCTCTCATCTTCAACCTCGTCAGCATCTTTATCGCCAACAGTTCTCGAACCGATTTGGAGCGAGCTACATGCAAAGACAACAATTTTCACCATGTCTTCCCAACCCAACCCGCTCCGCAACATCCAGACGTCAACCGTCTTCCTCAATACAACCCTCGCTGGCCTGAACTTGGGCCTCTCCTTCTTTGTCGTACCCCGCCTCCTTGAATCGCCCACTCCCCTCATGCTACGACAGTGGTCCAACATGTTCAAGCGGACCAGTCGGGTCTTCCCGCTACCGACCCTCTTCTGCGCATTGAGCTACTGGTACATGGCCTATGCCGTGCGCCACCTCCCCAGCAAGTCGAAGCTACTGGCCACTGCCGGTGCTCTTTGCTTTTCGATGGTCCCTTGGACCGGCTTATTCATGGTCAGCATCAACAAGAAGCTATTCGTGAAAGCCGAGGAAGCTAAGGACATGGGCATCATGGCCATTGGGCTGACTCAGGAAGAGGAGGAGGGGGCTAAATCTCTCGTGGATCAATGGGGCTTGTATAATCTGGGAAGAGGCGTTGCTATCGGCCTTGGTGGTGCTGTTGGTCTTTACAGCATCGTTTCTTGACCTAGCTGGGGTCCTCCAAAGTCACACCGGCATCCTCTTGGTTGGTGGTTATCTTCTCGGAACGGAGCTACTCATCAGTCACTTGGAATTGTCTCTAGGCTGCATTTGTTGAACTCATGGGTATCATCATTACAACTATTCTACTAATGTTACATCAGATTACTTCTTGATCTCCGTCCTTGCTCATTCATATCGTTCTCCGTCATTTTCATGATTGCGATCGCAGAGTGCCACTCGTAACATCGGCATCGATGGCCTTCAGGGGCATCGTGCGGTTAAAGATCTTGTGACCGACCAAGAGGACGATAAACAGGAGGACACTGACGTACGCAGTGAAGAAGTCACTGGTGCTCCATTCGATGAAGACGGCGAATCCGTTTGTCAGAATGATGAGGACGTTGAAGAACAGACCGTACCAAGAAAGGTAAGGTTGCAGTGGCGCAAGATAAGGCAGGCTGCTGCGTGGGATGTTCTGGGCCTTGAGGGCGGCCATGAAGCGCAGATGGCAGATGTTGATGCACGACCAGCTGATGAAGCCAGCGACGGCAGTGACGTTCAAAAGCCAGTCGAAGACAACACCGCCGTTGGACGACAGGTTCATGTACGCGAGCAAACCGACGGCAGATGTAGTGGCGACTGCGAAGTAGGGAGTTCCGAATCTGTTGGTGTAGGTCATGAACTGAGGAGCGCACCTCTCGTTGGCGAGCGAGACGAGAATGCGGGAGCCAGAGTAGACATTAGAGTTGGCGGCGGAGAGAACGGCGGTCAGGAGCACAGCGTTGATGATGTCGGGGAGAACCTTAACACCAGCCAAGTTGGCAGCGATGACCAAGGGAGACGCCGACGCATCCTGAGAATCGAGCAGAAGCGATGGGTTATCGGACGGCACAATGATGCCAACGAAGAAGATGGTCGCCACGAACAAGCTGAAGATGCCCCAGAAGGTCCAGCGCACGGCACTAGGGACGCTCTTCTCGGGGTTCTTGGTCTCACCAGCACCAATACCGACCAACTCGGAGCCCTGGAAACTGAAACCGGCGGTGATCAGGACGGACCAGAAACCGATGAACTTGCCAACGGAACCCTCAACAATGGACTCGTTGAACGCACCCGGGCTCACCCAGTACTTGAAGCCCAGGTACCCCTGTTGGCCGACGCCGGCGTTGATGCAAATGGCAAAGATGATGAAGCCGACAATGGTAACGACCTTGATGCTGGCAAACCACATCTCAACTTCACCAAAGATGCGAATGGGCATGAAGTTGAGGGCAGTGAAGACGACCCAGAAGACACTGATGAAGATGGCAATACTCAAGCTGTCGTTCCAGTATTGGATAATGACACCAGCAGCAGTCAACTCGAGAGCGAAGGTGATGGACCAGCTGAACCAGTACATCCAGCCCATGGCGAAGCCGAGAGTGGGGTCGATGAACCGGGAGGCATAGGAGGTGAAGGCACCGGGGACGGGAATGTAGGTGGCCATCTCGCAAAGCGCCGTCATGACGGAGTAGACGATGGAGCCGATGAAGATGAAGGCGATCAGGCAACCGACAGGGCCGGATGTCGCGATGGCCTTACCGCTACCGAGGAAGAGACCAGTACCGATAGTACCGCCTGCGACGATGTGTCAGAACAACTGCGGCCCCTGCACAAGGCGAAGCTCGATCAAAGTGACATACCGATGGCAATGAACTGCAGGTGACGACTGTTGAGGTCTCGCTGAAGACCACCCGTCTCGCCATTCTCCAAATCGGTCTTGGAGGCATTGGTGGGAGTAACCTCGCCCTCACTCGTCTGAGGAGTCTTTTCCTTGGAGCCGAACATGGGTAATGGCTGTGTTTGGCTTGGTAAATCGAAGTCGGCACGGGGTACGCTTCGTTCACGGACTAGAGCGAGAAGTCTCGTCGACCGCGGCCAGAAGCAATGAGCACACTCGAAAGGATTGAGGGGACGAAGGAAGCCTGTTGATTCGCTTCTCCAGAAATCACCGGACGCATGTGCAAACGAAAACCTGGGGGGACAACAGGAGAGGTGCCGCCCCGAACGAAAAGCTCATGGCATGATTAAATACAATACGGGCCTTCTCTTACCCAACAGGTTCCACTCCGCGTCGACTCATCGCGACCGGTAACGGTGGTCATGGTTGGAAAAATCTCGAGCAGTGGACCGCGCTGGCGGCTGGACAGACTCGCACGTACACACAGTCACACACACAAAGGCCTCGCTCGAGACCCTCTCCTTGGCTTCGCTCGTTGCGGGTTGGCCGATGGAGACGCGATGGTCTCACGCTGAAAGGCTCCATCACGCCCTGGTAGTGCGATTCGGGAGTCGGCCGGCCACGGGTAACAACGGCGTTGTCCAGGGGGTTTGCCTGTCGACCAAGAGCGACGTGGGAAATGGAGCGTGGGGATCAGCAGCTGTAGCAAGCAAGCAGGCAATGACATGCCATTCCGCTGCACGGCACGTCGACGCCCTCGCCGCCGCCTGCAGTTCGTCCGATCGGCCGGCATAAGCGTGTCTATTCCCATGGCTGGCTGCCCCGTCACCAAAGAGATCAAAGTCTGCGAGTCCTCCCACGCCGCCGCCCTCGCGCCACCCGATTCCCACCGAGCTTGGACCGAGCCCTTTTCGTCCTCCTCTCTTTTTTTCCCTGGAAAATCTCCGATTTTTCTCTCCGCATGGCCAATCATGATGGTCCAATTCCTGCAGAGTCACGGCACCCGCAAGCTCTGCCCAGCTGCTGGGCGGGTAGAATTTTTCTCGAACATTTTTCTCACCACCATTGTCCATTTTCAGCTAGAGATAACAAGCTTCTTCCAACCGATCCTATTGATGAGCTTGTCGGTCTTTGCCAAGTTTGTCTCGACTCTGGGCAGTCTGACTCTCTCGTTCCTCCAGCTCGGACATGTCCCCCCAAACGATCGGTGTACCCCGGCCGCCGGTGGGTGATACGTTGCAGCACCGCAGTCTCCCACAGCCGACCGCCATTGTTGTCACCAAGAGGGCCTTGTACTATTTGCTGTCGTTGTCAGCCCTATGACGCCCAAGAAGCCTTGTACGCCGCGCCTTGGTGTGACAATACAGCAGACCAGACCGCGCTAAGTCGAGCAACAAAAGGTGACTCGCAGGATTTCGTTCCTTGGTCTACCTCATTTGGCGTTTCCGCCCAGCTCCAACAAGTCTGATGATGGACCCGGGCGCGGCGTTCTAGGGACGGACTAGCGAGGCGAGAGGATATTTGCCCCAAGCTCCCATCCCAACTCATCCCATCCCCAAGCTCGAAAATTTCTTCTCCCTAGTTTTCATTACGTCTTTTTGTGGAAACATTTGCAGAATTTTTCTCACGATCGGAGCGGGCCGTCGAGACACTCGAGATTTGATACTGAGAGCTCAGAGATAATGCGTTTTCCTGTGTCAATTCAGTGAGCAAACTGCATGTCACTGCTTTCTGATTCGAGCTTTGATGGCTTGCTCTTCTCTGCTCGACTTGCGACCATCGTCGTTCGGGGGTCCCCATCCCATGCCTACATGCCATCCGGGAAGTGGTGCCGGCTTGCCGTTCAATGCTCGGAGATGAGACTTCGTAGACAGCAGTTCCGGTTCCGTGTCGGCTTACGATCAGTTCTATTTACCCGGCGCTCGCTTTTCCCTCTTTGGCTGTTGCAGACTGCCCGACTCACCTGGATCCGAAGGTTGCTTCCGCTGCCGGCACTCGATGCCGGATAGACATACGAGAGCCGGATCCGAACCCGGGTTTGGTTTTACGACCCGCTTGGTCAAAATTGTTCGCATCAGGACGCCGCAATCCTCGTTAGGATATCTGCGAATAGTTATGATGAACATCGCTGTCTCATGATCACGTGCAACGGACTGTGACTATTCAGTTGACTTGTTCAAGGTCTACGAACTTTCCAGTACGCGCTCTTGGTGAATCAATTTGCCTCAGTGCTGGCTAAGATTGCAGTGCAATTGGTCACTGGGCGCAAAGTTCTGCTGGGTTCGTGCGCAACCAAACCCTCCGGGGGGGTTAAAAATGCTGTGAATTCGCAGACCCTCATGTGGAGTCGTAATCCGTTCGTTCTCGACGTGATAGGACACTGTCATTATTGTTGTATGATTCCATCTGCCCTCAATGGTATCATGTCACTGGGCAGAATCAACATAGAGGCTGGCCGACAATCTATATTTCCACGTGTTTTCCATACCGCATCAAATGGCAGATCGCGGGTAGAGTCGGCCGAGGCGGGATAAAACCGGGTGCTGTTGACCTCTGAAAGCGCATTGTGGATTTGACGATAGTGGCAGCGACCAAAATTCATGTGTAGATGTCTAAACTTAGTCGCTCAACATTTGGATGTCACGGCTTTCAGGGCGGGTTTATTTGCAGTGAAGACGAGGTTGGGCTGAGTAATGCTATCATTGGCCCTCAGTAAGACCGTGGCGTCGGCATCGCTGGCGAGATTCCCTCTGGAGGAGTTAAAGTTGCAGTGAAGAAAAAGTACCATGTTTATTTCGCCTCTGATAGGGTAAAAAACTGTGGCGACAGTCTTGTCCAATGCAGCTGGCCTTCATGGCTTGGTGGTCCCAAGTAGTAGGAAATGGAGTCGGCGGCCAGCTTGGTGCCGTGTCGGTCGTAAATGCAAAAGAAATTGGTATGCTCGGTCGGCGCATGCAATTTCGTCCCATGAGTTGGCCTGCTACACTCAAACACATTGTATTGAGTTCGATCTACGTCGGCTACGGCAGAAGCTCTTCAACAACTGCTGGAGTAGTCCACAGCTAACACCGAGCGCTTTGTTGCGTTTCGACATTTCTCCTCTCGTGAAGACGTCACTAGGACCGGGTGTGTAGCACATGTACGAAATGGCGTGGCGCCTAGCAGCATCAGTAGACTTGCAATAACTTTTACGACCACACACCCAGACACATCGGGGGTACACGTACTGTGATCTTCAAACATTGATCAACATGGCAAACCTCATCGCGCTCGAAGAACATTACGTTTCTCCCCTCCTCGACGCCAAGAAAGGCGGGGCCCCAAGTCCCAACACCTTCGGGCCCGTCATAGTGGAAAAGCTGGGGGACATTGGCCCGGCACGTCTCCGTGATATGGCCGACAACTCCGTTGCCATGACGGTCCTCTCTCACTCACCGATTCATCCCGATCCCGAAACCTGCAAAGCCATTAATAATGATCTACATTCCAAGATCATTCACCGTCCGGCCGAGTACGCCGCCTTTGCAGTCTTGCCGATGCACGAACCTGCCGCGGCCGCCGCTGAGCTCCGGCGCTGCGTCCGGAATCTAGGCTTCGTAGGCACACTCACGGGAAACCACCTCGACGACGGCAGCTTCTTCGATACCCCCGACTTCTACTCTCTCTGGGAGACCGCACAGGATCTAGACGTACCCTTGTACCTCCATCCAACATTCCCATCCGATGAGGAATCCAAAGTCAACTTCCACGGCCCCTACGACCCCGAGATTGTAAAGGCGCTGGGGAGCTGGGGGTGGGGCTGGCACTCCCGAACAGGTCTCCACTTCCTCCGCCTCTTCGCTGCCGGCATATTCGACAAATTCCCGAAGCTCAAAATCGTTCTCGGCCACATGGGCGAGATGCTCCCCTTCATGCTGGATCGCATCATCGGTATGTCTGCGAGGTGGCCAGCACCCGGGGGTCGGGAGCGAGAGCGTGGGCTGAGAGAGGTATGGGACGAGAATGTGTGGATTACGACGAGTGGCATGTTTTCGCTGGCGCCGATGGCGTGTCTTTTGCAGGAGACAAAGGTTGAGAGAATCATGTTTAGTGTTGATTATCCGTTTGCTGGTAATGATGCGGGAAAGGAATTTATGAATAAGCTGAAGGGGAGCGGGCTTGTGAGTGAGGATGAGTGGGAGGGGATTGCGTGGAGGAATGCCAAGGGGCTTTTGAGGTTGAAGTTTGAGCCAAAGAATTGATTGTGGTGAGTCCGAGATGCGATCCTGGCATTTTGGGCATTCGTTGCTGGACGAATTGGAGATCGGTTATTCAACTTAGTTAGGACTATGTGCAAGTTGAAGTTGCTTGACTAAAGGATGTTGATCTTGGAATATAGACGACAATCACTCAATGCACCCTGTTGTAGCACCGTAAGATGAATGGGATTGCTATGGCAATTCCACAACGAGATACTCCATTCATAAGTAGAAATGAGAAATAAGCGCGAGAAAGCTCACATTGAGGTGCCATAGGTGGCTGAAGATCGTATCAGAGGCGATTGCTAAGCTGGGTGGCTCGGCAACTATTCCCGAGCTAAATACACTCCTCCGATCGGCGAGAGTTGGCGGGGTGCCCGCCTCGCAACACTGCTCATTCTTCATCATCACCGAACTCGCGAGTGCCCAACAGCTTGGCATAATCCGCAATCATCCTTGAGGGCGTCACTATCACTCAATCATCGACTTCGATACATTGTAGGGCTTCGGTGCCGCTTTTCACCATGACGCTCTCACTCCCAAAGATTGGGATCCTTTCCGTCGGAGACATGGGGATGGGCATCGCCAAACTGCTTGTCTCCAAAGGCTTCTCAGTCGCCACAAATGGTCAAGGTAGGAGGTGAGAATGAAATCGAACTTATTCTGAAAAGGGCCTTCTTCTGTTAGCTAGGGGCTTACATCATGATAGCCCGGCAACAATCGCCAGAGCCCGCAGCGCCAACGTTGAGGTCCTAAGCTCCGACGTTCACCTTGTTGAGTCGCGACCGTTCATCCTCTCCGTCGCACCACCGCGAGACGCGCTCAGCATCGCTCGACGCATCATCGACGCGGCAGCAACAACAAAACTAGAAAAGCCGCTCTACTTCATCGACCTCAATGCCGTCTCGCCAGCCACCTGCAAGCAAATGAGCCAGATGTTCAAAGAAGCCAAGAGTCCCGTCCGTTTTGTCGATGGCTGCATCATCGGCGGGCCGCCAAATCTCAAGCTCAATAGCGCAGCGGAGCAATGGTACGTCCCAAGCATGCCGGCATCCGGACGGTATCCCATCAGCGAAGCATGCGCAGAGCTCGCAGAGGCATTGAACATGCGCCACATCTCAACCGAGGTCGGCGCAGCGAGCGGGTTGAAGATGTGCTTCGCGACGACAACCAAGGGCTTCATGGGTTTGGCGATTCAGGCATTCACCACAGCGTCCAAGCTCGGTGTCGTGGATGAGCTGCGCAACGAGATGAGTGAGGCGGCGCCGGGCTTGCTCGATTTTGCTGAAAAGTCTGTCCCGCTTGTGCCGCCAAAGTCGTACCGGTGGGTGCGGGAGATGGAGGAGATCTCCAATACCCATCGCGCCGAGGGCGGCTTTGAGGCTGAGAATGATGTGTTCCGCGGCATGGCGGAGTTGTATCAGACCATGGCGGATGATCCCGTCCTAGGTACCGAGAAGGTTGGGGAGAGGAAACGGGGGACGACGATCGACGATCTGGCTGCTGCGCTTGGGGACGGCTTGGCCACCAGAAAGCAAGATAAGTCTGATTGAAGCTTAGTGTAGAGATACGTTGGACGATCATCCAAGCCAAACCCCGTAGAGAGACATAATTGATGTTCTTGTGCGCTTCATCTTGGGTCTACGGGCTGCTGGTTCCGGTCTCATAGGTTGATTACCCCGCGATGCAGTCATGGCGCTAAATCGGTAGGTCTCAGTTATTGCCAGCTTGAAATGCTCATCAATGTCAGCGCCCGCACTTTCGGATTCTTCCCTCTTCCCCAATATCCTCCGACCAGTCCTGCTATTCACGAAGCTGCTCGCACAGAATCTTTCTTGCGTGACCGCAGGCAACACCAACGATGAGACTCGACCTGGGGGACTCGGCAAGCAATGGCTTCACAGCGGGGCCAGGATCGTCCTCAAGGGCATGGGATCGCGACGTGAAGCTCCCGCCCGAGGAACCCAGCTTGCATCTCTGCTCAAGACACCGCGTCATGGACCTTAAACAGTCCGATTTTGCAGCTAGGCCTCAGAAACACGCCCTGCCGCCCGACTGGCACTTTGGTACTTTATCAGACGTTATCAAACGGAGCGATTACTGCAGGTTCTGCAAGATGATCGCCTCATCCGTCTCTACGAACAACTACAAAGACGACGTCGAGGTTCTAGGCTGTTGGGTCCCGGATGTGACCTTTGAGGGATCCGATGGAAATGGTACAGAGGAGACGACGATGAACACGCTGAGGCTACGGATTGCTCCGGAGATGGTGGGATGGGAGGACGCTTTCGCCCCGTTTGATATTGTTCCTCTGGCGAACGAGTCAGAGAACGATATGTTCAAGGGAAGGTTCATCGACGAGAGGTCTATTGACGGCGACCTTCTTAAGACATGGCTGCGGACTTGCGAAGAGAAACACCACATCGTCTGCTGGCGCAAGGACGAGCACGCCGTCGGCCCCATCGACCCATTCATTCGACTTTTGGATCTCAAAGACAATTGCCTCGTTCAGAAGTCTGATCTCCCAGAATTTGTCGCACTGAGTTACGTCTGGGGTAGAGGGGCAGTGAACTACAAACTCACAACTGATAATATTGACGAACTCTTTAAGCCTGGCGGACTAAGCAACAATTTCGACAAGCTGCCCAAGACGATTCAAGACTCCATCAAGCTGACTACCCTTCTCGGTCACCGATATCTGTGGATCGACTCACTCTGCATCATTCAGAAGGGCAACGATGACGACAATAAGGTACAGCTTGCACTCATGGACGTTATCTATAGCAGAGCCTCTTTCACGATTGTTTCCGCCAATGGCGAAGATGCGAATGCTCGACTATACGGCAGTCCTGGAATCGACAGGAGTAAGAAGCAGTATACCGCCGAGTACTCGTCCGACCTCACACTTCTCTCTCTCGTCCCCGACTTCGAGGACGGGGTTCAGCAAATTTACTGGAACACGCGCGGTTGGACGTACCAGGAACGACTACTCTCACGCAGGCTCGTCTTCTTCACCGACAACATGGTCTACTTCCAGTGCGGCCAGATGACTTGCAGCGAAGACTTCAACATGCTTCGCGACGATGTCACCCAGAGCGCCTCCCAGCAGAATATCACCTTGTCTCGCGGGGAGGCGCCGCCGACTCTGACCCGGCGGCACCAGTATCGCCTAGGCATCTCGCCCGAATTCTACTATCGCATGGTCACGGAGTACACATCACGCGAGATGAGTCACACAGATGACCGCGTCAATGGTTTCAAGGGTGTCTTGAACGTCATCGAAAAAGTGCCCGAGTACAAAGGGGTCTTTGTATGGGGTACCTGGGCGAAAGATTTGCTTGCTTTTTCTCTGTTGTGGCAGCCGCGACAGGAACTCAGCAGGGTGGTCAAGTACAAGTCCGATCCTCCACTTATTCTCTACCCGTCATGGTCGTGGGCAGGCTGGACGGGGGCCGTTCGCTTTGACGACCTTGACGACTGGAACGGCTTGCCTGCCCTCGAGAGTCCGTTCGATCGGGTTCGTCCAGCAGGCTGGGGCGTCTCTCTTGAGCTGAACAAAAAAGAGACGTTAGAAAACCCCGACTTTTACTTACGACTACGAACCAGGGTCGGGAAATTCAGGCTCACTCTTCACGATAGGAGCGGAGCCCTGAAGCCACCCTCGCTGCCGGATGTCAAGGAACCACACCCTGTGCGCTTTGGTATCACGCACTCTGCCGCCCGGAAGGAAGGAGGCGAGGACGAATGGCTTGGGTCTATCCTGATGCCCAAAAGCTATAGGCAGAAGCTGGGAGGTCCCTATGAGTTTGTTGTTCTCTCAGACGCGTACAGCTTCTCGGGAGAGGAGCTCTCGAGCCATGCCAGCCAAAAGCCTTGGGAGGCTGTCAACGTGATGTTGATATATCGCAGTGGCACGAAGGGACAAGATCCAAAGGCTGTTCCGGTTGTTCAACGGGCTGGCGTGGGCAGGATGTTGAAGTCTGCATGGGACGAGATCTCAACGGAGTTGGAGGAGATTTTGGTCGAGTAAGCTCTACAACTTGCTTTCGGGGAACAAGCAACGCAACTTTCGACAGTCCCAACATGCTGTGGATCCAAACCCGAGAAGCAGGGCATTAGGTCTAACCTTTAGTTGTTACTAACCTAAGGAATGAATGATGTCTAGAGACTATGAGCAAAGGTGGCATTTGATATGAGTGCAATTCAAGTGAATTGAGATTTGTTAAAGTATATACACTGAATATAATCTGATAGAAGCTTTTCTGGTAGCCAAATTTCCTCCAACCCAGACCATGGTGGTCAGGAATAGTAAAACCGAGTGTTTGTAAAGCCGATGCCCAAGCATTCTCGACAAAGGGATTCCAAAGGAGCTTCGATGATGAACCTCAGCCATCGTCTGGACCCCTTTCATTTCCCTATTAGTGACCGTGGCCACCATAGCCACCACCGTATCCGCCTCCCTTTCCACCGCCGTACCCGCCGCCGCCGTACCCTCCACCACCGTACCCTCCGCCGCATTTGTATCCACCCTTGCAGTTGCCGTACCCGCCGTTGCCGTAGCCACCGCCCCCGTAGCCGCCGCCCCCGTGACCATACCCACCTCCACCGTACCCGCCGCCACCGTATCCTCCACCCTTTCCGCCGCCGTATCCTCCGTAGCCACCACCGCCGCCCTTATTGTTTAGGATATCAACTCCACCCTCCTTGTTCTTATCTTCACCGGGAAGACCGGCCTCGTCTCGCTTGCCGAGGTCGTTGTCCTTCTGATCGCTCTTTGCCTCGTCGGAGTCCTGAAGACCGTGGCCGCCTTTGCCGTGGCCGTAGCCACCGCCATTGCCGTAGCCGCCTCCGTTGCCGTATCCGCCTCCGTTGCCGTATCCACCACCACCGTACCCACCACCTCCGTAGCCGCCACCGCCGTAGCCGCCACCGCCGTATCCACCGCCTCCCTTGCCACCGCCGTAGCCTCCGTAGTCGCCGTAGTCGCAACCCTCGTCTCTGCCGCCTCCCTTACCGCGCTTGCATTTGCTGTTATTATGGTATTGATCTTGATTGTTTTGTTTCTTGTCGTCGCGTGCTTCGAGTTGGGATCCTTCGCTTGGTTCATCGCGAGCGACGATGGCGTCGCGTAGGGTCTGAGGGTTACGATATCAGCACGGCAGTCCTTTGATTCCTGAGAAGGAGTCATACCGGTAAATCAACATCAGGCTATCATTGTTGCAAATAGTCAGTGAGTGACTTATGAGGGAAAATGATGCCCGGAAGGGATAGCAATCAAGATATAAGGCGAGTGGGACGATGTGCTCTCCTAGAAGTTACATGTACTTACAGCTGCCTCAGGAGAACGCTATCTAAATGTCAGAATCTTTCCGAACAAGAGTAAATAGGATAGTTTCAGACTTACTTCGATAAGGTCACCTGTCTCGAACCTAGGCTCGGCGATTGGCTGAGCTACTGGTGCAGCTACAACAGCGATGGCATAGAAAGCCATGCCAATCGTGGCAGTTTGGCCGAAAGACGGGATATGCATGATTGCAGATTTAAAAGATGAAATAAAAGGTTCGAAGTTGAGTTATTGAAGTGATGCTTGAGTCAATCCACTAAAGGTGAGGATGTGATGAAGAATAAACAATCAAGGTGAACCGAGAACAACGTACTTATACTCGAGATGAATGAAATTGCCGTTGGCGTAAAATAAGAACGATGTCTCCAAGTTACTTCTTGTCCATAGTAATCCGCGGCTGAGTTGCGCCCAGCTGAACTCGGCTTCGGGAATAACTTGCACCTTGTGAGTTGCAAATACGGCAACGCGAGATGCGGACGACAACGCGAGGTGTGGTGATAGTCCAGTCAGCCGCTCAGTACCAAAAGTCAACCCCTTCCCAAGGCTATTCATGGAAGGAAACTATGATCTGCAAAGGCTTAAATCACGCAAAGAAAAAGTCTCTGAGTAAGAGATCCGAAGATTAGAGTTATCTGAGTGCATAGCTAAGCAGAGCCGCCCACCAACTTCAGCCATCCGATCTAAGGTAGGGGGAACATTCGGATGTGAGGGGAAGACAAGTTATCGTCCACGGTTTGCAGCCGCTGATAAACTTGGCGTGAGACACCCGCGGAATCAGCTTTCATCCAGATGAACAGTGGTGCAAGAACCAAGTGTAGGATTTGCATCAGTGCTTTTTGACAGTTTGGTTGAAAGCGCTTCGTAAAGCAAACGTCCGAGAGACAATCAGGGGGATTTAGTATCCGAAGCTTCCTTTGTGCCTTTCATAGAACCGCCCAAGAGTAACGAACACCTCGTACGTTCAAATCTCTGTAAAAGCTAGCAAGTCTTCAAATCCATGGTATGGCCCTCTCTATCTACAGTAAAGCATCCAGTGCTCGAATGATCTTTCGGTAGGCTAGGCCCCTCGCAATGAGTCGCTTGCAATCCAATTTTCAGGATCCGAAAGCTAGAGCTCGGTTTCATGCCGATTAATCAGGTCTAGATGCGGAGTAGGCCGCTTACTACCGTCAAGAGAGGCTGAAGCAGGCTAATTGAGGGGACCAAATTTTGCCGCAGGTTCGCCCTCCGGCAGCTTCGTAAGTCGATGATCATTTCGATAGGTCTTAGTCATACCACGAGGTAGGCGGCATAAACCACATGAACTTTCTTGATTTACAGTAGTTGAATGGCTCTCCACTCAACATACATCGTGATTCCTACCCGCTTGTTTCATGTCCCGAAGCTCAACTGGTGGCCGCGTAAACTGTTCACAGTCTAATTGAGTTGGCTCGGACCTCCGAACTGCTCTGCAAAATGTCACCGAGCCCCTCCACACCTATAAACAAAGGCAAGAATGTCAACTTTGAGTTGACTTGGCAGACGTCAACACCATGATCTGCATTACCCGAAAGACTCTTTCTATCAACCGGCAACTTCGGTTGTCAGCAAGCGCTACCAGCACTCCAGAATCCATTTCCGTTTGAGAGATTACACTCGACACCGAGATTGAGGTTCATGTAGGACTCATCATCCGAGGCAGTGCAGTAGAGGAAGGAAGCGAGACCGAGCAGCATGAGGCGGCAATGTGGGAAGAATGAGGTCGCGACCAACTATGCCAGCCCAGCCCCGTTGCGGCTGGATGGCATCCTACGAGCTGGGCACATGTCGGTGAATACCACGGGAGGCCCTGTTGCTCAACCTCACCATGTGAGTTTTCCAGCCCTCGTGCTCGTACAGCATCAAAGCCCCACACGAGATCCAGGCCTCGATAGTTCACGCTGAGGCCATGATCCTTTGGTCATCGCGTTCGGCTCGTGTGGAGTTTGCAGCTCAGGATTTAAGCACGTGAGCACGCCACAGGTCCAAACTTTCGCGATCCCATCGGAGAAAGTTTGCCAGATATTTCATGCGGGACCTCATCTGTTGAGAAATTCGTCCATTCATCAGATAAAGTCTCGTTGTGCTGAGTGTCGATGTGTCAGCAGAGCTACTTGAAGCTAGACTCCGCCTTGCAATGCGGTGGGCATGGATATGACTGAACAACTAAGCATGGACCGAATGCTGAATCCCGTAGGTTGATGATTCACCCAACTTGTCTCCGAGGATGGCAGTTTGAGATCATCCAACGACATCACTTACACGTCGTCCAAGATGTACACACCAGCCATTGGTAGCTGACCTGAGTGAGGAATCCCGACGTATGATCATCAATCTCCTTTAGAGCCCCTGAATGCGCCAACTGTCTCATGAAATGCTCCGTATTAGGTTGGTTACACTCTAGTTTACATTTGCAGCTTTCCGACATGGGGATTGAGTAGTGACTCTGGGTTGGATATTCAATGCTGTTTTTTTTGCCCCTGGCCTGAACCACAGCTCGCCCATGCTGAACTTAATGGTGTGAAATTCGGGCAGTGTGGCATTGATCAAAGCTTGAAATTACATTATGTGAAGTCCAGCCCATTGAGAACAAGCTTGATTTGGGTTCAAGGCCTGGACCCTGACTTCGCATTCGGGGCTTATTAGTTGATCAGTCAGGGCCCTCAAGACCCTCACACCATCACTTGTAGACTCGATCTGGGCCGTTCTCTGGGAGCTTGACCGTGTTGACCGCCGCTGTAGTGAAAGCACACTTCCCAACGCCCCCAGTCATACTGAGAACTCCCCACTGAACAGGTAGCAGATAGCCGCCATCCTGGTCTTCCCGCAGGACATGACAAGCAGCACTTATTGCCAGACTATTGGTCGACACCATTGGCATTGTGCCATCATAGCGTCGCAGCCCCATACCGATGATAATGATGACGAGAAGGAGCCCCGCAAGCAATGCTGAGCCTCTAGGTCAGAAACCACAGGCACATTCGAGAGTAATGAATGGCAATGGAGGTCGACTTACTGACAAACACAGCTATAGGACTATAGCCACATGTCGAGAAAGAGTTGACATCATCGTCACTCCCGTCTGTGGTTATGGCTCGAATTCGTGCCAAGAAAAGGCTCTGTGACACCAGCCAATGCATGATGCCCGAGCTAGCATAAAGCGGAATCCCATATCTCAAGGGCAGGGAAATGAAGTAACTTGATCGTTGGATCCCTATTGGTTCGGAAACTCTCAACGGCTTCCTATTGCCCGGATCCCACATGCGACTGAACTCCCTTTGGACTAAAAAGGTGCTCAGCATAGTATTGTAGACGATGTACAAGATCGACAGGACGAGTTGAGGCAAGTTGGCCAATAGCACATTAGCTATCAACCCTCCTGGGTCTGTACGAGGCATATTAATCACCAAGTAGGTGTAAGGCGTCAAGGCTCCAAAGCCTAGCTTCCACAGCTGTGGTATCTTTACACCGAAACCTCTTTGTCTTAGGCTTACAAATGACATTGTCAAAAGTACAGCTGCGATTATGATTACAAGAAGACACCTGAGGAAAAGCAAGTCAGTGAATTCAGTATCAGAAAGCAAAAAGTCAGTGTTCCTACATGGCCAGCATGATGACCCAACGTCTTAGGCTTGCAGAGGATCTCCACTGCTTTGGGTTCTTTTCAAAAGCCCGCGGCTGAGGTCTTTTTTGAAATATCGTTGGGGAAGATCTAATAAAACGGTTGCGCAAAGTTCGTGTAGTCAAGAAGTCGTACTTTGTCGCAAGTCCCATATCGACAGTTTGCTTGCATGGTTCCCGCATGAAAGAGGCTATGGCATCGCCCAAGGTGTATAAGACCTCCTTCGCCTGATTTTCCTTTCTGGGATTCTGCCATCTCCTCAGAGCCCATATTGATAGCATGATGGCCGCTTTAATCATGTTCATGATGCAAATAGTGAACATGATGGGAGGCGAATATTCGAATCGACAGTTTGCGCTGAGCCCTTCTGGCGGCTGAACGATACATCGTGACACCTCGTAATATGGAGGCCCAAGGAACCATTTAGTCACGGGTTTTGGTGGTGACAAAGCTGCAAAGTGACCAGTGCCATTACCTAGAGCCCACATGTTCTTGGACCAGTCGTCTGAACGAGGGACGATGGAAACATACATGAGCAGACTGTCCTCTGGCGGGCTCTGTAAAGTTTCATTCTTGACTAGAATGATCGCGTTTCCTTGGGGATTGAAGTAGTCGTCATACAAGTCGAAACATGCTGAAATGTTGCGTTCTTCATAGATGGATGCATTCCTCTGTATGGCTCTTACTACTTCTTCGTAGTCTAGGTTTGAGGGGTTGACTCGTGTGTCTTCCCAGCCGTAGTCGCCGGCTCGGTTGTCCTCTGCTGTTTTCAAGCTCCATGAAGCATTGTTCAAAAAGGAATCTTTGACAACGACAACGGTGTAATTGTGAGATGAAAGTGACTGGAACACAGCCGAGTTGTATCTTCACGTTGCAGGTGTGAGCGGATGACTGAATGTCTCGAAAAGCAAAGGCACTGGAGCTTTCTTACATGAGATGAATAGGAATAGAGGTCAAGGCCAACAATGCCCACGAACATCGCCTCCACATGCTGAGATATTTTAGATTTCGTAGGCTAGGAATGCCAATGTCCAGCCACTTGTGTTTCACATGAGCAGCATTCACGTTCTCGCGTGTTGGCGCAGCCTGCAGTTGCATGCAATAATTTGAAGCCGACAGCATGCCTGTTCCCAACAAATTGATGAGCAAATGCAACCATTGGTCAAGCCTTTTCACGGTTGAGCAGTCGCCCTCGTATATCAACCCGACACCATTGCGGCTTCCGTAGCTTTTGACAGCAAAAATAGTCACACCGAGATTTGTCATCAGGATGAAGCCGATAATCCCAATCTGGACCATGAGAGCACGACTTCTTCGTGAAAACCATATGCGCCAACTGCTATTTTCGTCACTTCTTATTTGGGGAAACCACCCTGACAAGGTGGTTTTGTCTGCAAACTGCTGGGCTTGAAAACTTTCGGCTCTTTGCTCTGGGACTACAGGGTCCGCATCGCGGCGGTCAATCTCATGTGCGGTCTCGTTCGGAGCTATCTCAGGCAATGTTGCGGTCGTCGTAGATGACTCGATCGGTGTTTCATTTCGATCGTCGAGCACAGCGGCTGGTCGCACAACTGGTGCGATTCTAAAAAAAATTAGTCCAGTGGAAAATACGGTAATCAGCAAGTAGTGGAATGATTGCGCACCCCTCTGGGTCTGCATCGAATACAGCCATATTCGTTGATTTGAAGGAGTGCTCATCCCTTCCATAATACCGTTTCGAGATCTACATGACAGCAAAATCGACAAAATGTTGAAGGGAAAAGAGGGACAGAAGCAGATCGTTGGGGGAGAGCAGGGCATAAGGCTCTCCTCGAATTTTGATCAGGCTCTCTCTCTAGACACCATGCTCTCAGCTGCCAAATTAAGCTGCAAGCCCATGGGTCGTGTCTTACCTATGTCGCACTCCGAGGCCTGCATTTGCGGCTTCACTTCATTGGTTGAATTGTCGGCCTGTGGGCTGCGTTGCATCACGGATAAATGGTTGGTAGCCTGATCCCGAATCGATTTCGCGATGTCTTGAGAAATCGGAGCAACAGCGCTTGGCGCTAGTCTGACTTGCATATCCGACCGGGTTCAAATTGCACTTTCAATTTGAATTATAGGTGTTCGATAATTTAGCGCCTTCTTTCTGGTTCATGTCAAATGAAAACTTGGTCTTGACGGTGATATACGGCAACTAACACACCATTCACAAAGTCTTGTAGGGATCGAGCACGAAACCACTATCAACTGTGATTGTTCATACGTACTTTGAAAGAACAGCCCTAGATCTGAAATGAAATTCCGACAGCATTTTCAATCTCTAAGCCTTTTACAATGGCTTTTTGCCATAAATCACCCATCTGTTCGATGTTAACATCATACACTTGCATATGGACCAAGTTGGAGTTCAGATCTGCAGGGAAAAGATGGCGAAAAGACCCCTGAGTCTAGAAAGACGAACAAGAGGATGTGACTTACAAAGGACAGTAGTGGTGGATGCTTCGGTCTTTCAGGTCCTTCCTGACTTGAGCCAGAAAAGTTTGCACCTCTGCATTGCTCCAGTCGAGCGCCCTAGTCAGTGCTGCCATTGTCCAAGCTTCGAGGCCCTCGGAGGCATTCTCAAGAGCCCACACCCCAAGTTCTTTGTAATATGGATCTTTTGCCCACGGGCCGATGGGCCACTTGAACGGAACGATGGTCACATCGACAAAACCCGCTTGCTCAAGGATAGGAACAAGACTCGGAACGTGGACAAATGGACGGCCGAGGATCTTGCAGCACTCGTCCAGCTTGTCTGCCCACTGCCAGAATGCGTGATTAGGAGTCAATGACCCATCGTCCGACTGTGTGCGCGCATGACCTTCGAATAGTTCGATATAACCACCGGGAGTAAGGCCGCTGCAGAGGATTAGTTAATTGTAACGAGGAAACAGGAAAACGCATACTTGTATGCTTGCTTGAAGAATGCATGCCAGTCAGAGACACTAGAGGTCATGCCACGAATGTGTATGTAGTCGAAAGGCTGGCTGAATGTCCAGGGTTGTTCAATGTCGTCAACTTCAAATTTGAGATTCGGCGGAACACTGTAAACCAATTAGTGAATGAAATAATCTCAGAAAACAGCAGACCCATACAATTGAGTCTGTACCGGAGTAAGATCGACCCCTAGAACCTGCGAACACTTGAGTTTAAGATCATCTCGCCAGGGGAAGAAGCTGAGCTCACCTCAGCTTCGGGATGTTCATCGGCGAATTCGATAGCCCAGAGTCCCGTGCCTGTCCCGATGTCCAGGACGCGCTTAACGCCTGAATTTTCGTTGTTCGGGGGAGCAAGACCTAGCTTATATTCTAGCGTCAACAGATAAAGATTATGCTGCAAATCTACGAATATCTTTAGTATCTAGACTGCTAATTGTTCCTCGGGCTACGAACCAAGCCTGTCGTTCTCTCTTTCGTCGTTGGGGAAAAGATATTCTAGGTTTGTAAGTAAATTCCATTGCAATTGGGTTCGATGCCTGGCAGATTCAATTTGAAGATGGTTGCTCACTTCCGTCTTTGTATTTGTGGTAAGTTCTTCCATTCTCCAAGCGATGCTGAAGAATCGAGCTGGACAAGCTTGTGCTTGAAGATGCCACACTCTACAGCAAGTCAGGAGATCACTTTTATATGAGAACGTTTCAGCGAGAAATCTTGCTTACTGCCGCTCTGTCCGAGGCATCGTCGTCTGTTAACTATGAAGCAGGGTCAGCGACTTCATTCTAAGATATTTCATGGTATTTCTCACGTCGCTGTTCTCTGCTTCGGCCTCTAGAATGGGGCCGTGATTGATTGCAATATCGTGGCCGGTGCTACGAGTAGGCTCCAGGTTGTTGGCAGATGGTGAGGGAGCAGTGCCCACAGCGCTCTCTTCAGCTCCAGTGGTTCTCTGAGAGTCAACCATGATGTATGAAGATTGAACCATAAGCTGGCAAAAGATTCTCTCAGAGAGGAACAACAATCTGTGCTCATTTATGTCTCCAGGTGTTCAAGTGAACTTACCCCTCATCTTGGCCAAGCAGGATAATGCAGGTCTGCGGCACTGTGACAGTGGAGTATCGTGCTTGCCGATGATGTTTGTTCCAACCAACATGACTTATGACGGGCACTAGTATGGGCAGCAGCAAGTCTACCATAACGCCAACACAGGAAGGGCATTCTTGTCTGCACTGAAGTGCATCAAAGCCGGATATAATCCGGTCGAACGTACGCCAATCTCATTGACTTACAGCACAGGCTAAGAGGCCGTTTTGTTGGAGCAGGCAGATGTGAGCTGATGACAGCGTGACACAAGATGGAACGTCTGGAAGCTGACTGGATCTCGTTGTTCGAGACTCACTGATAATAATTGCCAGTAGATTCACAGTTTCGCCTTGGACGACGTATCGATACCGAATCATGATGCAGCTTCATGCAGCCATACTTCGTGCAAAAGTTTATCTTTGATGAGATCTAGGTCTTTTCATTCTCATATGTGTTACAGATGTCGTAGGGTATACATGGCGTTGGTTGCTGCCACGATTAACATCGTGGATTTTGCGACCACAAGACATTCAGACACCTTTGGACTTTCGCCCTCGAATCGCCCTGTCGAGCCATATTTCACACAACGAAGCACAGTCATCCCCAATGTGAGATGGTTTCTGATTCTCGTAAAATAATGAGTCGAGGCGATTGAGCCAAAAACGTGAGAGACGCGATTTGCCTGGGTGGCAGCTCAAGATATGGTGAGTTGCATATGTCATTCGACCTCAATCATCGATGCCATTTCTTTCGTTGACACTAAGCCATTTGAGGCATTGGGGCACCTTAATTTTAGGGTTAAATAAGCGCTGTCTTTCTCCACTGTCAGCGCTCCGATTAAGTTGGGCCTGAGTTGAACAATGACAGAAAGCCATCCGGAGCGGGCCGGATTCTAGGTCTCAGTCATATTGCGCCTCATTTCCATGGGTGGCTGAACGCCTGTCGCACACAGACCAGACATGGCTGAGAACCATGAATCCTTCGATTTTCAACAGAGTATTGATGCCTGGCTGTCAGTCGCGCGTCATCCCATCATTGCTTCTCTTAGCCCCGGTCAAGACGCTTGAGACTTGGCCAAGAGCCCCCAGCGTGCTCGTGTTCATTTCAGAGCGTCTAAAATGAGGGCTGTGCACAACTAGTGCTTTGAATGGCGCTGCAGGACTCCGTGGATCACGTGGAGACCAAAGCGCGACTCGTCGCTCACGATCCCCTGCCCCCGACCCGAGCATCCCGTCTCACCTCATCCATTTCTCTTCAGGCTCATCGGCGGCCATCATTAGAGTCATCATGGTCTCATTAGGCGGCTTCTTCCTTCTTTTCATGTTTCTAGCGACACAAGCGTTGTCACGCGATATTCCGAACAATGTTAAAGACTTCTATGGGTTCGTCCGCGGGCGGAACAAGTGCCATCATACGTTAGCAAGCGGGTTTCACAGCAGTGAGGGTGACAGCGGAGGTACGTGCTTCATCCCTTCAACGGCTCATGCTCCAAAAATGCTCACGAAATTCATTCATTAGATTTCAGCTACTGCGGAGACTACCTGGATGATTACAAAATCATATATCTCCAAGGGAAAAATGGCGAGTTGGCCAACATGGACGTGGACTGCGATGGCGAGCAAGCCGGAGGCGACGGACGTTGCGGCAGCTCCACCGACACTCAATCTGAGACGACATTCCGCGACCAGCTGAGGAGTTACGGGACTGGGCGACGAGACCTCAACGCCTCGGTACACACCTATGTTGTATTCGGAAATCAAGGTACTAAAAGCGGCTGGACTACATTCAACCCAGAAAAGCATGGCGTCAAACCACTCAGCGTGATGGCTGTCGTGTGCAATAACAAATTGGTAGGTCTACTGCTATTTTACTTGAGATCCTACTCTAACCCATCTTATGTAGCTGTATGGAATCTGGGGAGATACAAATGGTGATGATGGCCCTCAAGCCATGGTAGGTGAGGCTTCTATATCACTCGCCACTGCGTGCTACGGCAATAGTATCAATGGCAACTCAGGACATGATGACAATGATGTCCTATATATTGCCTTCACGGGTGATGACGCTGTCCCTGGAGCAAGCGGGGCAAACTGGACTGCGTCAAATTACGAGGACTTCCAAAGCAGCATCTCAGATCTTGGGAATAAGCTCATTGAGCGTGTTGGGAGTGGGGGGAATGGCAGACCTCTTGGAGATCAATGGATGCTCTTTTCTGCGATTTTCTTTGCAATCATTGTACTACTATTGTAGCATTATCAGGAAAATGAACCGAAAATTCAAAATCAATTACCAGGCACACTCAAGACATTTCAGCAAGATTCACAGTGGGCGTTGATATTCTGACCAGTTAGGAAATAGAAAAATATAATGACTTGCCTGATGTTCAACTCCTTTCTCTGAGCCCTATGTGGATATATGTCCTCTTTGCCCATGAGAAGCCCCTCACAAAAACTACATGTGCCTTACTAGGGACTTCTCGGTGAAACTTTGCATAACATATCGACCTGTTTAACCAACCAGTAGTTCTCATGCCGGATTCTTTCCGGCTCCACGGGTGTGAAGTCAAAGGTCTTGACCAAGATGGGCACAAGCTTGTTGATTTCCAGCAAGCTGATGTTTTTCCCAATGCAGGTACGAGAACCTACCCCGAACTAGAGACGATCGATCAGTAATGACCCGGGGAAATTCAGCGAAAATTCGACTCACCGGTATCCAATTCGATTCCATGAGAGAAATGTGTTCTTTGTCCTGACTAAACCACCTGTCAGGGCGGTATTCATCGGCATCAGCACCGAAAACATCCTTATTCCGGTGCAAGACCCAAGTATTCACGCCTACAACGCACTACAGTCATTTCGGTCAGTTATATCTACCAACTTGGCCCATCAAGGCTGTGGTAATGGGACTTACACCCTCGTTGAAGTCTCTGCCAAGAAGATTCACGCCACCTTTAGGGACAACACGGGCTAGCGGAAGACCTGTTGCTGGATGTAGTCTGAGTGACTCCTTGATGCAAGCCTGGAGATAGCTCATAGCTTGGGCGTCTTTGAAAGGGATGAACTCAGGGTTGTCTAGCTCTGCGAATTTGGCGTCGATATCTTCCCGAAGCTGTGATGATTATTAGAAAGATCATTCAAGCTAGGCGGAGAGTATCTCTCCGCTCATAAAGAGTCGGTCAGGTACCCTCTGAAGCACCCTGGGGTGGGACGCAAGGTCATAGATAACAGCGCACAGTGATATCGAAGTTGTGTCAGAGCCAGCTCCAATGTTGGTCATACAGGTCGTAAAGACCGCGCTTTCTGGGAACTTTCCGGGATTTTCGTGGTGTAGACGGAAGAGCTTGGACATGAAGTCTTGCCTGTCTGGGCTCCCCTTTTCCATGTCAAACCGGACTCTGCCCTTTTTCAGCTGCTCGGCGGTGAAGTTGACCCCATTCATCAGCTGTCCTGGTGGGAGTTTGGACAGTATCCAGTCGAGGGTTCCATGTAGCTCGTGTTCTATTCCCACCATAGCGCAGTACTTGAGGTAAACGTGTTGACTAGCGAAGATTCCCAATCGATCGCTTCCTGTATCAAGGCATCCAAATCTTTGTCCAAGCTATATGGAGTGGGTGAGTATGTGTGACAGGACTACGAATGAGACAAGTTTACGGAGAGACTTACTGTGATTTGACTGACAACATCGAATGCATAACACTGCATCCAAAACTGAAGGTCGATGGGATTTTGAGTCTGACTCAAGTCTCCAAGTTGCTTCACAAAGACTCTCAAACAGTCTTCGACATCGGGCTCCATTGCTCTAAGAGAGGTGACAGAGTAAAGGTTCGCCACGAGACGCCGATTTGCAGCATGACGTGCACCATCTCGATCCGTGAAGAGGTCTTGCCAAGGAAGACCGACTGGACTTGAGGCCTCGTACCATGCGGACTAAGAAGCGAATTATGTCAGTAAGGCAAAATCACTCCATGGTCTCGATGATACGTGCCTTGATAAAGCCCTTTCCAATACCATAAATCGTCTTGATTACGGTCGGGTCATTGATACTATACTGCTTAGGAGCAATCCGCACTATGGCTCCTGTCAGGCGAATCATCTTGTAAGCAAAAGGCTCTAATAGTCACACCCGGGAATAAAGATCACATACCGTATTTCTCATGGAGCTGAATATTGCGATGATGAAAGTTTCCGTCTCTCACATGTCGAAAATACCAGAGTCTTGAGAAGCGAGCCTCGAATGGACCAGGCAGCTTCCGAAGAGACGAGAATGTCTCTGTGATAACATCTACTGAGGCCCAAATGAGGATGACGAGGAAGAGGAGGAGAACAGAGATCCATGGTGTGAGAGTGAAAGCCGAGTTACTTCGATCCATTGTGATTTGCGAATGCCTGATCCGCGTCTCGGACAGCTTGAAGTAGGAAAAGAAATGATGGTGAATGGTGTTGCGTAATAGCTGTCCAAAGTAGCTGCCAAGGCTACGTATAAGGTTAAAGCTCCTATTCTCCATGGGAAATTGTTCGAATGGGCAGTACCAAAGACACTAACACTTGAGTTTTCAGTGGCGGCTGGAGTTTAGTACCTAAGTCTTTGGCCAGCAAAGTCAACACATTTGAAAAGGTACAGATGACCTAGGCTCTATACTGAAACACTTACCTGGAAGAACTTCCGAAAGAAAGCCACATGAGATGTAACAATTCTTGCTGGATCGAGGTTCAGGTTGATCTTTTTTTGCAAATAGCTGCAGGCAGGTAAATTTATGTCGTCTTCGCACCCCACAACCCATTTGCTAGTATAAATCCAGGCCGGTCACGCACTCGAGAGTGACTTCACTCATTGTGTGTATGCTCGACCTCTAAGTTCTGTGTCCGGAGTCCGTATCGCATCCGCTAGCTAAGCCATGCTGCCCAGCTTCGACCATGCTCCCCGAAACCTTACCCCGCAAGATCTCAACAACGCATCGCTAGGAGACCATTTGATCTGCCCGTTACCCCACATGGTACTACTACCAGGCATACGGGGTATGCCATGTGGCTAAGCCATGGCAGTAAGATAACAAGGGCTGTCATTATCACTTGCTTTTGGGATACCTTATTGATGCCTCTCTGCTCATGGCAGGCACTCTCTTGGTCTTTGTCCCCTGTACGTGGAACAGCGTACTTTAGAGCCGTGCCACTACCTGACTCTTTCGAAACCCACTCTTAGTTCTCGCACATCAATCATGGACACTGGCAATCGGAAAATCATTCGTCACTCGAATGGACAAACAACTGCATACATTCTCGACTCTTTTGTTGATCCTTGGAAACCAGCTGAGACCATACTACTTCAACATGGTTTCGGTCGAACCTTAGACCACTTCTATCATTGGGTTCCAGCCCTAGCTAGAAAGTACAATGTCTTGCGTCGCGATCTTCGAGGCCATGGCGGCTCAAGCTACCCAGGCCCCGATGACGACGAGGTCTACCAATACACAACCACCACGATTGTGGATGAAATCAAAGACACCTTGGATCAGTTGAACATTGAGAAGATTCACTTTGTTGGAGAGTCGACGAGTGGTATGCTCGCAGAAATATTTGCGGCAACATACCCAGAACGCGTAAGCTCTGTCATTGTGTGTTCATCACCAACCCATTTACCGGCCTCGGCACAGGAGTTTCTTGCTTTTGGTCTGGAGTCTTGGCCCCAGGCATGCCGCCAACTGGGATCAAGAGGTTGGGCAGAACGACTTCTTGGTGCGAGTGGCACTGTGGCGAGCAGTGATCCTAACTATCTCGCATGGTGGAAGGACAAGGTTTCTGTTAGTGACGGAGAGGGGCTGGCAGGATATGCTGAGTTCTTGAGCCAGCTGGACGCTCAGCCATACTTGGGGGATATCAAAGCTCCTATGTTGATTTTATCGCCTACAAACAGTGCTCTTGTAAGCGTTGAGTCCATGAAGAAGCTGACTGCGGAGGTCACCTCGTCTAAACTAGCAATCATCGAGTCTCAAGGGCACGAAATTTACGCTGAGGCTGCAGAGGATTGTATTTCAAAGATTAGAGACTTTCTAGGAGAACATTAGATTTCAGAATGCTAGCCTTCCGCTTTTCAAAGAACTTGGTAAATTCACCCACTTCTCAGCTATCGAAGACGGCTCCAATCTGATCTTGTGCTTGTGCTAGATCGTTATCATACCCTGGGATGACGGTTGCGATAGATATCACAGAGAGTTTTGCTATCCGGGCAGTACTGTTTGGCTATCCGGGCAGTAATCCACCTTTTGGACCAATAAGGGCTTATAGCTGCAGAGCTCGGGCCACAGCCCCACACCCGTACGAGCTGCACCTGCCCACG